AGTTATGTTTGAGTGTTCTGGGGGCTGAATAGATATTTTTTAAATATTGCCTGTCAGATTTAGGCATCAGACCATTGAAATGACTTCTGTGTGAACATCAACAACTAGCCTTCTTAAGTGTTTTTTCCCCTGCTATTTTTGTCTTTAGAAGGCATTTCTAAGTATCAAGAAAAATAATGTTTTGTTGAATATCTTGTCATGCTGTACCAAACACACCATGGATTTGAACTAGGCTGAAGTTAAGAGATCAGTTTGTATTGCCTCCTTTGTAGATATATCACTTATTTGTTACCAGAGATTTTCTTTTCGTTGAATCATTTTCTGATACATATGTTGGAAATCTATTTATCTAAATTAATCAGAGCACAGAAGAGAGCAGGACCATTCCCTAGATATTACATAGTGTATCTTCATTTTTCATTTAGCACAGATTTAAAGTTAAAACAGAACTAGTAATTTTCAGGCTGAACATAATTGTAATTGATAAAATTAATCATATTACCTTGTGTGATGAGAAGTCTAGATTAAGGAAGCAGTGCTAAAAAATGGGCCAGTGCAAGACAAAAATGTATTAAATGCCAAAAAAGGAGAAAATTTCAGAAAGATGAAATGTTCTATGTTCAGTATTTTATATTCTTCAACTGCTCACTTGTCATTTGCATACATACCATTAAAGGATGTTAGGTAGAAGGAATGAAAAAATGTATTGTTCATATAGAGGGTAAGTCTTGGACTTTCAAATAAGAGCAGTGGCTGCAAGTCCAGGAAGACTTGGGTTTTTTTCCATTTTTCTTCATCATACTTTTCTGCTGATTCATCTATATACCTAGCCTTTGAAAATACTAAAACCATAGTATAATGCTTACATTCTTCTATTGCAAGTATTTAGTAGAGCTGTATTGATTTTATGTTACTTTGAGCAAACACAGAAGAAAAACTCAACCAGAAAAACTGAACTTGTGGCTGCATGCTTTGGAGTTAGTCCTGTAAGTTACGAGTTACAGTTCCTCTCTGGAAAACATGGATCAGTAAGAGAAAAATGTTCTTTTCATGATAAATTAGTTCATGATGAAACCCATCCTGTAGCACAGATTGTTACACAATGCATGTGACCTTTTAATTTATTTTTTTTTTCAGGCAGTTGATTATGCGGATAAAAAACATAGATGTAAAAGATATATTTCTCTTAGGAGCTGACGTGGGTGCATTCATTTGCAAGCGAATCTGAATTTGGTCTGCAGAACTCTGTGCTCATAGATGTGTCTCTCCATTCCCCTCCTTCCTTTTGAAGCAGTCTTGGCCATGGCAGTAGCTTCCTTAACTTAGAGTAAACAAGCTACTCTTACTTGTAGTATGTCCTCAAAGTGAAAAAAACACATTCCTCCTCCCCTCAGAAGGAACACTTTGCCCTTTTCCTGATCTTCTAAATTGGTTTGTTATTTATGATTCCTGTGTTTATTTCCTCTAATTTCTTCTGCCTTTCTCACTAAGGTATAATGTTTTTACTCTAGATGCTTTAAGATGCTTATCAGAGGGTATGTGTTTCTGAAGAAACAAGTGCAGAAACAATCGTTGTTTCCAATCTGGATGATGTCTTTGGGATCCTGATGATCTATCTTGTGAAATTAATTAGTTGTGTGTTTGTCAATTTAATCTTAATTTTATCTAAAAATTTTAAGGGATTTTTTTGAGTTAGAGATTACTAGGACACAATAGATATGCCATGTTTGCTCATACTAAGTTATTTTCAACTTTTGGATGAGTGCCAATTCTCCAAAAGGTTTTAACATTAGCATTAGCTGTGAGTCTGGAAAAAAAAAGTCTTAGCAGAGTTCTATTTGTATTAATAGTAATCCAAGCTGATAGTAGATGCAGACAGCTAAAGCCTCTTAGGCTGAACACAGTAATTCTGATGTTGTAGCAAAACCTTGGTATACATCTAGTGCATAATTAAGAGAGATGATATTCTGGTTGAAAGCCATTTGTGAGATGTATTAATGAGCAGAACACCTTGTCATTCAGAAGAATAGTGGTTATTCTGATCTCTGTTGCCAAAAGAAGAAAAATTCATGTCTGAGAAGGAAGCCTTAAATAACAGGTCAAAACTCAACTGTGGTCCTCTCCTTTTCCTTCATCTCCTATCTCCAGAGGGGCTACTGACTTTCCTGGGGTGCTGTGAAGTTTCACTTTCATGTGAAAAGGTAAATTAGTTCACTCAAATGAAAGTACATTTCAAATGTTTGGCAGCAGTGTTGGGGGAGGGAAGCTATGAGGGGCTTTATGTTTCTTAAGTTCAGTCACCAGCATTTGTGAAGTGGCTAAGCTTCAGAGCAGTGTTTCTTCCAGTTCCCTCCAGCCCTAGTCTGCAGCTTTTAAAATGTGGTTCTAAAGTTTTTTCCAATTCTGAAAAAGTATCCCAGAAGCAAAGAACACACTGCCCAGTAAAGCAAACGTAAACTTAAGTATGTGTTGGCATTTTAAAGAAGGGGGGGAAGGAAGGAGGCAGGGAATAAGGGAGGTGGAAAGGAAGGAACAGAAGGAAAGAAAGGAAGATAGGGAGAGAGGAAGGGAAGGGAAATTATTAATATCTTTTAAAGGTGTGAAAGCTGGACAGTCTTTTCTTACAGTCATTTTCTGCAGTTACCTAATGAGAATCTTTCAGGTCTTGATAACATGCCATGACAACAATTAAAACGAAATACACCCTTTGGTTCCCAACCAAGGAATTCCTCCAGAAATCTCAAACACAGTATCTTAGGGAGCAGTACAAGTGTATAAATGAATAAGCAATATGCAGAAACATATTTTAAAAACATATTTAAGGGATTTGGTTACTTCTGCAGATAAAACTGGTTTAGGGAACCTTTTGTGATATGATAGCATAAATCTTTCATAGCTATAAATCAATTTAGAGTCTGGACTAGGATGCTACAGTTTTACCAAAAAAAAATATTTCTCATTGTTGCTTTCAAACATGCCAATATTGTTTTGTACTACTGGGTAGACAGCTTTGAGTTGATCTAGAGCTGAGATATTTCTGCAGTTACAGAAGGAGCTATAGCATCTCATGAAAATGCTATTACTACCTTGCTGAAATGTCATGGAACTAATCTCTGTGTTTAGTTAGTTCTTTTTATTCAGAAAGCTGTGTGTGAATTTCTGTAATCAGTACAGGTGGTGTTTGTTCTGACAAGAGCTGGACAAAAAGCCAACCCAAGGAAGCAGAATATCCCTGTGCTGTGCAGTCAGGTCCTGCCCTAGCAAGGAGAATGGCTTGTATCTTGTGATGCTTTCCTGCTGCTTGTGGCAGGTGAGGGAAGATATGCTAGACAGGCCCATAAGGTAAAAGTAGCAGCAGTTTATCTGTGGGAATCAAAACAACAGATAGTGTTTACTGCCTGTTGGCTCCGGTCTTTCCCCCCTTACTGTTAAGTGGGAGTTAAAACCCACCTAATGATGGGGTCAGAATGATTTATGTGCTTTGCTATGGGCATACCTTCTCCGCACAATCAGTGAAGATCTTGTGCATCCTAGTGGGTTGGAATGAGAAGAGGGGAACTTGTCTCCTTTGCCATGTATCTGGAATTCAGCTAGGTGGGTAGTGGGCAAAATTAAGATTTTTGCCATTTGGGTTGTTGTAAGGGTTCACATTCCAAAATTCATCAGAGCTGGGAAGAGAATTTAGAAGAACAAAATTTGGCAAGGGGAATTGAGGTCACCCAAGTTTGGTGGAGCAGGGAAGCAGCTTCCTGTATGTTATTTCCCACTTGCATTTATCCTTCCCCCTTAAGACTTTAAAGAAGGGCAGCATCCCAGCAGAGCCTGCACTGAATTGCATGCACTGATGGCAGGAATAATCAAGGAACACAGTATGGTTTCTGTTGCTAAGTCATGTTTCCAGATGTCGGTGAAGTTGCAGCCTAATTAAAGCACGGTCCTTGTGTCTCTGTATGGTTGGGACAGTTAGACTAGCTCTTGGTCTATTCAAATGCTAGTATAATCTGACAGGTGCATTATGTCCATGCCTGAATCAAAGAATAGTAAAAGGAAATATCAAACTACCAATGAACAGGAGTGGAAACCATGAGAAATATTTCAATTATTGTATTTTGGACTTCATGAGTGATTTTGGGACATAATGAACTATGAATATGTATTGAAAATCCTTAAGTAATACTCATTTCCAAAATAAACTTTTTTTGTGAAATATATAGTGAAAAGTGAGAAAAAAAATTGGTAGTTTTTAAAAGTTTTATTTGGGGATACTCTAAGCTAAAATTGATTTGTTAATTATAAAACTTTGTGTCTTATTAAATCATGTTAAGTAAAGTAAAATATGAATTTAAGTCGCTGTTAGCTGTAGAGTTGCCTTCACTCTGCACGTTATTTAGCCTTTATTACATTTTAAGAGAATAATTTGTATATTTGGTATTTAACTGTAGCAACTATGAAAACTCAACATATTTCCAGTGGTACTGTTTGCATTATAATTCTCATGAAGATAACAGTTTTAAAATCTTTTACTAGCTCCTGCTTTTCAAAATACTACATCTGTGTTAATAGTTGTATTTTACTAAATTTTCCTGTCATTATCTGAGCAGACTACTTCAAGTCTGGAATGGGTGCTTGTGAAAAGTATGGCACGACTGTACCTTAAACATATTGCTTCTAAATGTCCCATGAATTAATTGTAATATCTGAATTAATTTTAGCTGTAGTAGTGCTGTAAATTTTTGTTGGCATTCTTTGGTATTGTAATCAAACTACACAGTATAGTTTCATGTTGTGTGTGTAAAAATCATTTAACTGAGTAAAATTTGTGTGTGTAATTTCAGATTCATTCAAAATTAATATGCCGTGTAAATAATATGCAACCTACTGAGCTAATGTCAAAGCAGTGTACACTAATAATTGATCCTCTACTTTATTTAGTTGCTTTCATAATGACATTTTAACAGAAATGTAAATAAATTTTCATGGTGTTTTCTTTTCTTCAACAGGATACTACAGGTATAGAAAAACTGTCAAACTGTTGTGAAGACATGTAAGTTCTGTAAAATTTTTACATTGATGAAATGAAGGAGTAAGCTGTTTTTTTAAACTGGGTGGGAGAGTAAAGGAACTGAAGGAACTCTGTTAAGGTGATTTTGCAGGGTGCTGTGCCTTGTATTTCTTGTACACAAAGTAACCTCCCTACCCAAACGCAGTGGAACTATATTTTCTTTCAAAAGTATAGGTTCAAAATCTACTTTCTGCTGTGTTTTTACATACATTTCATTGATTCTGAGGTCTCCTCTGCTTCAAAAGTTGCTTTTGTTTCATTGATGACCCAGATAGTTTCTGTTCTCCAAAGTTAAGCCTCAGCTGCGTGCCATAATGAAAGAAAAGTTGTGTTTGTGACGCTGAGACACAATTCATCAGAGTCCAGTAATGGATCCCCAGCCAACCTACATTGTTCTAGCTGACTGAAGTGCACTATGGGCATGTTGTCTTTCACTAATAATGTTGTCTTCTGTAGATCGAGGCCCCGAAAACCATGGCAGCAGACCTTCTCAGAAGTTTTTGGCACTCACTGGAAGATCCTGTGGTTTATTCCTTTCAGGCAGAGGCAACCACTGCGAGTTCCCTACCACTTTGCCAATCATGTCTAAGCAGGTGGATGGTGGGTACAGATGGATCCTCCATGCTGGAAATGCGTTACAGGTTTTATGATAATAGGACTGTGACAGTCTTCAAGTCAATTAAAATCCAGTTGTAGGCATCACAATGTTGCCCAGGCATTATTTTAGTTGTGTTGTTGATTCTGTTCTGAGATTCATGCAGATTGATTGTTTAATTTTATGCATATTTAATTTCAGATTAGCTTTTCAAAGAGATTTCTTTTGGCTTTGAGCTTAATACCAAAAGCAAATAACTGAAATGAAATTTTTTTTTTTTTAATTTTTTCTTTTTTTTTGTAGGAAGCACTGAAGTTTACATTCATGGTTAGATTTCTCTCCAAATGTCTTATTCTGCCTTAAATTTTTTTTTACTGTTTTTATCAGCAGGTCTGTCTAGATAATATTAATCTTTTTTTTTCCTGCATGTATTGTAAGTTCCCTCATACTGCCATCATATTTATGATATGCAATAGTAATTGTTCAGCACTCCACTATAAAAGGCAACATTTAAAACTGAGGCAGACTACTTCCTAAACCTTTCTCAGAGAGGTTTTTATAAATGCACATAAACGTGTATGTTTATATAGAGAAGTCTTACATCTTACACTTATCTTTTGGCCTAGATACAATCTTAGTGAAAAATATTCCTGTCTCTATGTCAACAAGAGGGATTAAATATTCCAGGGTAAACTGTGCAGATAGAAGGCATGTTTTCCCTATATCCCAAGTATTTCTGTGCAATAATTCAACAAAGAAGTTGCATGGTGCAAATACTCGAATGATTACTTTTTAAAAATGCAGATGTAGTTAGTTAGCATAATGTACCATAAAGAAGAGTATATTGTCAATAAAGTTATAAATTTTATATTTTCTTTAGTCATGATTAGCTGGAAGTCTGAGTTTTTGTATATTGGAAATACAAATATTTAAAATATTTATACATAAATATAGATTTGCTACTAACATGTTCAGTGAAGTATATTAACTCATTTAATAGGATATTATGTCAAAGTAGATAGCGTATTGCTCCTTTAAGTATGGGAGTAGTTAACCAAAGAAAGCATCCTTCATATCTGGTAAAATGACAACAGTTGCCAAAGTACTGGCTCGGCCTTTCTGTACCTGGAAAAATTATGTACTTATTTTAGCCCTCTGTATCAGTACAAATACCAGCATAAAATGATTGTGGAAAGTACTATGAATTTCTCCTAGAAATCCAGTGGTTTTAGTTATGCTAGTTTGTGTTTGTTGCATAGCCTGACAGGACTAGGATCCACGTTGAATGGCAGCCATGCAACTGGATGCAATAAAAGATACAAAATCAGGATTTAATATACGTAGTCTGTATGGGAACTAGTGGTTTATTTGTGAACAGTTAATCCAAAAACGAAGGGCAAGACTTGTCATGAGCGGTGTTTGTAACAAATTTTAAAAGACTTGTTTATAATACAGTTACTGCCAATGTTTGGTGTCCCTTTATCGAATTAATAGATTTTGATGATCCATTAACAGTTTCAAGGGGTACATCTTAAAAATCACTTGAATTTTAAACTTTTGTAAACTTCTAACATTTGATCCAACTTTACTTTTCCTCTCTTTTTAAAAATAGATGGATTGTTTTATTCTTTTAAATTTCAAGCCTAATATTCAATCATTTTTTTCATGCCATTTTTCTTGAGCTTAGACTTTCTTCAAGGTGGTGTTGACAGCAATATTTAAAAAGAAGACTGGGACAGTGCTGGAAATTCAAAAGAATGTGGATATACATAATAAAGTCTGTATTCTCTTTCCCCCTCACCTCCTCTCCCCTTTTTTTTCCCTTTTTTTTTAAGGAATGCTACTGTTATAGTCTCTGACATATACAGGGGAATAATAGCAGTTTCCTTTTCCGTGCCAACACAGTAGTTTTTTTAAAAGATTTCTTTGTGCTAATCAGTTATTGTAGTTAGCAGATTGTACAGTTCTGAACCTTATTCAGAAAGAGGATCCCGAATTTAACTCTTTTTGATACCTTTACCGAGGGGGCACATAACTGCGTTCTGTTTCCCGGTGTTTCCGTATGACCGAAGCAGCGCGGGGAGCACCAAACTTGTCCCGCAGAGCGCGCCCTTCGGCAGGAGCCCCGGTGGCGAACAGAGCGCTTCGTTCGTGTTCGCGGAGCGCAGCGGGGCAGTGGGTTGTGCTGGCTCCGTGGGGATGGAAGATCCAGGATCAGCCCCTGTCCCGGCAGCCGGGCGCGCGCTCCCCGCGCCCCCTGTCGCCGGTTGCCTGTCGCGACAGCGGCGGTGAGCGGCCCGCAAGGGGCGAGGGACCGCTCCCCGGGAGCCGAGCAGAGCCCTCCCTGTCCGTGAAAACCTTGCCCGATTCTCAAAACGATATATTCGAACGAAACTGTTGTTTTTGCAGATTCGTGACGCCTCCAATGTTGCTGTATGGGATTTTTTTCCTTTTTTTTTTTTTTTTTTTTTTTTTTTTTTTTTTTTTTTTTTTTTTTTTTTTTTTTTTTTTTTTTTTTTTTTTTTTTTTTTTTTTTTTTTTTTTAATTTTTTTTTTTTAATTGTAAATCTACTTTTTCTCAGTCTCCCATCATAACATTAGGAATCAATATGTAGTATGATTAAGACTGCTAGGTAATTTCTGCCCCTTTTCTCAGAATTTGGAGAACAGAAGGGAGAATTTGGAGAAGCTTCATGTTTTAGGAGGTATTGAACTGTATTCTTTGAGAGGCCTCTAAGAGAGTAAAATTAATAATTTTTTTTTTTTTAAATTTAGCTGAATGGCCCTATAATGTTATTAGTTTATCAGAGTAATGTTTCTGAAACTGATTCTCAGAAAGAGTTTTTCCATCAGAAAAAGATCAGATGGACTTTTATGATCTAATTGGAAATTCATGAATCCATTGAACCTTTCCTTTGAAATCCCACTTCTTTCCCTCCAGGTCTCCTGTACGATTTTTTGTTTTAGTAAAAACTGCATTCTTAATATTGATTAGCGTTTGTCATTGTTAGGCATTTAAAAACAACTTATAGATAATGTTACTGAATTTCATCCTAATATAATATCAGAGTAACACATACTTCATTGAGCACAGTGGATATTAGCTTCTGACTTGGCAATATTTGGTTTCCTGAGAGGCACAAAGGGAAGTTAAAGAACTAATGAAAAAAGCCCCTGAAAACATTTGAAAGTAGCTGGTTTATTTCCTGTTTGGGGTAGCTCCTGGTAGGACCAAAGAATGGTACCTAGCTATCTTCTCATAATATCAGGGATTTGAGATTTCATTTGAAAAATCCCCATGTCTGTAATAAAAGGTAATGCATTAAATCATGTCTGTGAATCTGTCCTCAGATTTACTGCTTTGAAGTAGAGGTTCTGTCTCACAGCTACTGGAGTAGTTCAGATACACAGTCATTTTCAGTCTTGAGGAGAAGTAACTAAGAACTGATTGTTAGGATGGAGTTTAAACTAGGCAGCTTATTCCTTGTTACGCCTGTAGAGGGGGCAAACATGAACAGGAGATGTATAAAAGCACAGAGAAAATGGAGATGGGCCGAAAGTGTTGGTTTGATTTGATATCAGAGTTTACTCATTGCAAAGAGCAGGAGTTACACAAATTCACAGGCCATCATTGTATGTCTTTCAGTGTTTGTCTTACAATTGCCCAGATTTATTCAGTAAATAATTTCAGAAATTTTCAATTCATTCTTTGTTTTGTGCTATAGCAGTCTGACGTATGTGAGGAAGCAAGTAACAAAGGCAGGATTTCTGGAGTACTGTGAAAGAAATAAACTTTGCATTTTTTATGAAACATGATAATAAGTTTTCTGCTAACTTGAAATTGCTAGTTGACATAAAACACTTTTTTATAATGCATTTTTTACTGTATTTGACTGGCCTTCCTGCCAGTAGTACTTTACTTGTAGCAGAGAGTTTCTGTCACATATTTGAGGATGCTGTCAATTACATGTATTACTTAACTTGGCTATTTCCTCTTTCCAGTATGCACTCAATTTCACTGCAGCTCATTAGTAGGAAGCCAGCATACCTTCAATGGAGCAACAAAATACAATTGACTGTTGGCAATTTTCTCAATATCCCAACTGGAAATACCACTGCATTCCTTAGAAGTGTTTTATTTGTAGGGTGTGCTCTTGATCTTTCTGGACAAAAATTGCTGCTAATTCTACATATATTCTCATCAATAATACTGGATTAGCACTTCTAAACTATTTCCTTCTAAAGCGTTTTTCTTTACTACCCCCAGTATAAATCACTGTTAGTCATACCTCATAGCCATTGAGTAGCTGTCTGTTAGCTCTTACCTGGTCTGAATGAGTAGTGGGCACATGGTGTGCTCCTTCAAGCCCTGGTAGATCTCAGCTTA